TTTTTTTTTTTTTTTTTTTTTTTTTTTTTTTTTTTTTTTTTTTTTTTCGCGCGATACAGATATGATCCAACAAGTTACGCACACAGTTCTGTTTTTTCAGGCAAGTCGCAATTAAACGGTAGACCGAGAATACCTGCTAAACAATGGAATCCAGGATTCGAGCGCGCCGAACTGGACCAGAAAATCACAGGGAACAATCCCGTTTCTCCGCCGTTCGTTCGGATCCCGTTGGAAGATCGGTCGAAATACGAGAAGTTAACGTTCGACGCTGGAGACGTGTCCAGCGACAGCGATAAGGATTTATCGCACGAGCGAATGAAACAAAAGAGAAAGAGAGCCAAGAACATGATACATAGGAAGAGAAGAACGCAGAATGCGAAGAACGTGCCGAGTGATACGACAGGAGGAGGCACGGCTGGTAATTTGAAGACGCTCGGTAACAACTGGTGTAATCAAAGTATTTGCAACAATGTTAGGTCGAATGGTGATTGCAGAAAGACCAGTATTCGAAATGGTAGTGACAAGGAGGAAATACAGGAAGAGCGAGAGGAGGAGGAGGAGGAGCAGACAGAGAGGAACAAGGAAAAGAAGAACATAAAGGAAGAGACGAGAAAGGAGAACAAAAGAAAAGAGGAGGATGAAGAAGAGGGTGAGAAACTTGTTGAGGAAGAGGAAGAGGAAGAAGAGGACGAGGAGGAGGAAGAGGAAGAAGAGGAGGAGGAGGAGGAACAGGAAGTGGAAGACGATGATGATGACGACAAAGATAACGATGACATCGACAATAATAATAATGACAACGACGACAAGAGAACCTACGATATCGATGAAAATTGTGATGAGATGAATGAAGCTACGGAGGTTGTACATAGAATTTGCGGTTCGGTTCATCATGCGGAAAGAAACGTTATTACGAGCGAACAGGATTACAGGACGAAAAAATCGAAGAAATATTATCGAGGAGAGCAATCGTCGGTTACTCGAGTGAACACAGATCCAGTTGTCGGCCATCAATACGGAGAGAAGCCCCTTTTACTTGACGATGAACTCGATTCAGAGCCAAAGTTGGAATACTCTCATGGCGATCCGTTCGTTATGGACGATCGATATGGATCAAAGTATCAGTCGTTCGACGGCATCAGGTCGTTGAAGAGAAACGAGAGGGCGAACCTATTGAGCGACTTGAGATCGTGGAAACACGGTGAAGACGTTTTCGCTTTGGCACCGTTTCCAAAATCATCCGGCTACTCGAAAAGGAACAACGATTGTCAGCAAGAGAGCAACGAATTTCAAACTGTAGTTCCTGCTATTTTTGATTTGACAGCTACGTCGGAGACGGCAGCAGATTCGGAGAGCAGATTGCTTTCCACAGGAACATGTAACTCGTCCTCGTTGTTAGCGAATGTCACGAAAGGATTTGCGGATATTGACTTGCTGTCCGGTGACAACACGCAACAATCTCCGGTCACTAAGGCGATCCCGATTATTTACCGGGACTCTGAACGAAAGAGAAACCAAATGGATCAAGATGGCAAGCTTGAGAAAGCAAGAGACGGAGAAGAAAATAAAGAAAAAAACAAATGGATAGAAGCGACGAAGGAAGAGAAAGAGAAAGAAGTGGATGGAAGAAGAGAAGAAAATAGAGAAACGGATTTATTTGGCTCATCGCCATTTAGTCCAAGCAGTTTCGTAATAAATTCGTTCGACTTCAACAGTTCGCGAAATGAAGAGACCTCAAGTCGATCGGCAAAAATGACGTTTCCCAGCCAGGAAGAACCTTACGATGATTACATCCACGTGCCTGTTCGTACCTCTCAGACTCGACATTCTCCATCGAACGTTTGCCACATGAAACAGGCTGCTGGAGCCACGCCAACTACGAAAACAACGTTGAATTCCAAATTTTCCGACGACTCCGCGGATAACGAGTATTCGCATACGTTCCCAGATGTTTCGAAAGATCTGTTCGGTTCCATTCCATTCAACGAATTCGCATCTTTACAACTGAACGAGGAGAAAAAGAGAACGGAGGCTTGCGTTTTACCATTTGTTCAATTATCGTCACCATTATCGACGCAACTTCACCAATCGCAGCTACAACCGCAGTCACAGTCACAGTCGCAAACCTCGAGTTTTGTCGGCGAGAATTTGAACGCGATTTTATTGGATAAAGCGCAATCGTCGGACACCATCGCTGATCGAGCATCTACTTTGAAGGAGGTATATACGATTAAACCGGTTCAGCATACTGCTCGGATCACTATTCAGACGGTGAACAGCGTGTCGAAGCCAGATGTTACATCGGACATTGTCTCACCGATGTCGCCTGAACCATTGATGGTTACCGATGACGATCACCACGATATACCAAGGCATAGACGAGAAAAATTTAACAAGTCAGAGAAATCGAAGTATCATTTAATCAATGAAATTCACAACGATGTTAGCGACGTTCTATCGTCGACGAAGCTAACTCACAAGACCAAGACAACTGGTTACGGTAAGAAAATTCCAAGGGTGAAGAAATGTTCTGTTGTTAGCACAGCTGCTGGCTTCAGTAACATGAGTTTCGAAGATTTCCCGAGCGACGAGAACGAGGAGAAACAGTTTAAGAATACGAAAATCGCTCCGTTCGAGGTGGTCAGAGAACCTGAGAAACGGTTCGGATCATTGAAGAGAAGGAGCAACCCGTTCACCTGAGACCCGAAAATAATGTGAAAAGAATTTAATATGACTGTTCTTGCGAACATGGTATTGACACTGAGTCGCATGAATGTTCGATGATCACATCGTTTTTATTTATTGTCCGATTAAGTGTAGAACATGAAGAGAGGAGGAAATTTTGCAAAACGATGCGTGCATTTCATCGATGTTGCATCGATTTATATCTTATGATATCGACACTGTGTTGTCGTACAACACTTTCAACACTGTTTTCCTTTACTTTCATTTCCCCTTTTTGCTTCTTCTCTCTTTTTTTCTTTTTGATTTTCGTTGTACAAGTGATGAAATCCTGTACGATTCATACATCTGCATAGTCAGCGATTAGGAAACAATCAGAAAAATTTATTCGGCATTTGTAACAAATCGAACGGTATATCTATTATAAGTACATCGTATAAAATAATTTGTAATTTTTGCTTCACTTGGAGGATGTTTGTTTTAAAGAATAATTTGAATATATTGAAGTCATGGGTCGGCATTGTCAATACATATTTTTTAGTGATTTTGAAAATAGATTATTATAGACTGTATAAGAATAAATAGGATAAGGGGAAAAGAAAAGAAAGCGGAAGAGAGAAAGAAGAAAAGGATTGATAGATACTAGATAAGCTATTTTTGTAGCTAAACCTTTTCACTAAGCTTAAGTAAGCTTTCTACTACTGCTACCACTATCACTAGTACTATTATTGCTAATACTACTTCTATTCCTATCTACTACTATTACTACTATTACTGTTATTATTATTATTATTACTGCTACTCTTACTTCTATTTTTATCACTACTATTATTATTACTATTGCTACTACTATTAGTATTACTACTATTTCTGCTGCTAGCCTTAAATTCTTAGAAATGACGCAGTTGTAGAATGAAAGTAGAAAACAACATCAAGAATGGCAGATACATGGTGAAATACTTAATTAACTTTCCGTTCATCACTTGCTTTATATATTTTCTGATCTGTACGACGTCTACAAAAAATCAATCTTAAGAACGAGCGATATACAAACGTGTGATGCCAACTAAAATATCGTTAAAGTTATACATCACAAATACACTTAATGAAATAAGAATGGAGAAAATGTTGTTAAATTTATTTATCACATTAATTTGCGTGTACGCTCATTAACTTTTCTCCAGACATGCGTGAAAGCATTATTTATTACAAATTAACTGAACTTGCAACATAGACTATATAAATTTAACAATTATGTATATGTGAAAATTTTATTTGATTAGGCAGTGACTGTGTACTGTACACTTTAATGAGTTGCTCGTATTATAAATCTGATATGCACACGCAGCTTGAAAATTGTTAAACATACAGTCAGTACAATACGTATAAAATTAACTCTTTACTTTTTGTTTTGATTTCTATATATATATATATCTACATATGCAATATTAATGAAGTTTTAAGCGAGCTGCGATATATTAAAAATTATCACATCACACACTATAAAAAGTAACTAGTAAAAGTTATATTAAGATGAAGAAACTCGGAATAAAGATATTGAATAATTATATAAAAAATTAGCAACATTGGTATGGTACTGCTTTTTTTCTTGTTCTTTTTTCTCTCTCTCTCTACCTATCTTTTTCTTTCTCTCTCCCTCTATCACACACATAAAATGATCGATATTTGATGATTTCTAATTAAAAACAACTAGAAGTATTGCAATATTTAGTAACAATAAGCGCATGATAATGAAAATGTATGAAGAAACGCACGCTGGAGGATGCTTGAAAAAGTGATGTTTGCAAAGCGCACTGTTAACAAGATTGTCTTATTGTATCGGTAATGGAGTAAAAATGTTTGTTTGCTGATCATCTTACTTTTTCCTATAGCTACTGCAAAAATATAATATGATCATAAAATATATTACTATACATTAATTTGGGCATTGAGTCAGTATAAGCTGAGTTTGAAGTTACTTCAAATATTTCAAACAGAGGATGAAATTCATAGTTACCTTAGTATAATAAATAAAAAAAATTGCAGCTGCAATTTACACATGATCCTTTATATTAAATCTGATTTCGACGACTGTAGTTTAATACTGTGTGAAAACGAAAGGGGAGAAAGAGAGGGACAAACAAAGTCACTCTAATTGTAAATATTGATAATATAGTATTAGTCACTACAGCTGTAAAGTTGGAAAACTAATTATTTCAATATGAAAAAAATACACATTTCACGTCTTTTTTTTTATCATTTCTCTTTCCCATCGCTGTCGTTTAAAGAAACGCAGCAGCTTTTTAAAGCTGCATCATGTAAAAAAGAAACAACAGAAACAAGAAAAGAAAATGGAAAAATGAAGTAAGCCAGACAATATCGTAAAGATATTTGTATAATTATTGCGTATATACATACAAATTTGAAACGTTTGTATGCATATCCATGTGTATACAATAGCCTGTGTACATTTAAGTAATGGGAATGTAGATATTAGCCAATAATACACAACTAAAAAACTTTTCTTGAAAACATTTAAGACTTGCACTCTTAATTGTTATATACTGAATGATCTATTTCATAATAGTTTATGAATACGCGATGTCCGTAATACACTTGACTCGTGAAGTGAAACAATCAAATAATAAAATCCAGAGGAAATATTTATAACAAAAGAAAAAAGTAATTTATAAATTTACTTTTAGTGTATATAATATCATGTTAGATTCTAGTTTTTCTTTTTCTGTAATAATAATAGAAACAGAATTTCAAACAATTGAACAAAATTTAGTACTACTGCTCTTTTATATAATTTTAGAATAATTAAAGAAATAAGAAATTTTTAACATATTTGAAATGAATGAATCTTTTTTATAAGAAAAAATAAAAAACACGCTTTATTATTCTAACAAGTAAAACGCATAATGCATTGCATAGTATGATTCTCTCTCTCTCTCTCTCTCTCTCTCTCTCTCTTTCTCTCTCTCTCTCACACACACACACACTCATTTGTTTATTTTGAATATTTTTCATAATGTTTTTCATATGTTCACACGTAAAATCATACGATGTACGAATAAAACGAGGAACGAGTTTCATTACATACATGCATGTATAAAAAAAGGGAGAAGTTGATTAGAAATTGTTAAATTGTTGCAGACTTGTACTATTTGAATGAATGAACGAACGAATGAACAAACGAATGAGCAAATAAACGCAAGTGTGCATACGAGGAGGATATTACACATGTAGTTATAATGCCACGTTTGTTTTTTCCGTGAATATTTAAAAAAAAAGTGAAAAAGAAAACATTTGCATATCGTGAATAGCAATAAAAAAAAATATATATATATAAAATTTGTAATAATCGAGAACCGATATACTTCCATGTTATTTGTGTCGAAGTTTGACCAACGAATGAGCGAGAATATCCATGTAATCATCTAATCTAATAAATTGCGATTTCGCGATATTGGAAAAGTTATTAACAACAACAGAATCTTTTACGCGCCATAACAACATTCAACAAAAAGATGAATGTCCAAGCAAAGAAATTAAGCCAGGTGGAAATAATAGCTAATAGAAGAGCGAGGCCAGTGTCGATTTCTCTGACGCGGTTCCAGTTGGTCACATCCGTCTGTAAATAATCCATAAAATCAAAAATCGCTCCGCAGGAAAGTCTATTGTGAACAACCTGTAGAAAGGACGGAGGAATATACTGCGCGTAAGATAAATCGCAGATAAGAATGTGAAAATAAATAGAAATGTAACGCATATCATATTGTTTAGTTAGATTTTCATTCAAGCATAAAATTAGGGCTCATACCTCGGCTTCACGTCCGGTCGAACCTAAAATTTGTATTAGTCTTTTTCTGTATTGCTCGCATGTTTTATAGTAACCATCGGTCGTCACTACTGCGTGAGCCAATGACAAACAGCAAAGTAATATAGTAATAAAGACAGCAGGGATCCATTGTTTGCACGGAGTTCGTCTTTTAGGTCTGATCGCTACCGTCGTCGTTGTTATCGGTGGTTCATTGCCGTTCAAATTTCTGCGAATGTGAAAACACAATGATTGACCCGAACAACTGTATCACGAGCGAACGCATTTATATTCGCAATTTCCATTAATAGATCTAACGAATTCTATATACAAAGTTACAAAAGCATAAAGAAAAGGTGGTTTTTCCAACCCCCTCCCGGTTAAAGCGATCAATTCCATTACCCGTTCCTGATCGTACCTGCTAACATCATCGTAGATCCGCACAGGTGTATCTAAATTTCTATTAATACAGCTTCTGTATCCATGATATCCACCAAGGCATAAACCGATCAAAATCGCAGGTATCAAGCCGTATACACCAAAATGACAGAGCTTTACATCACCTCCCATGAAAGTACTGAAAGTATTAATACCGTACAGTATGCAACCGCAATCGATGCTAATGCAAACATCCAAGATCCATGCCCAGTATTGCCAAACGGTGACCAAACAAATCAACGACGTCACCGACAAAATTGCACAGCAGATGTACAACACGCTGAGAATTCGCTCCGCTCTCTCCTCCTTCATTTTATGGATGTATCCTCTCTCTTCCCTTTTATAGGAAGCAAATCTTACCTAAGAATTAATATAAACATTGTGAATATACATATATATATATATATATATATGTGAATAACTTGATATTTCTATCCTCCAATTTCATTGCCATACCGGTACATCAATGTAAGATCTTCACTTTGAGCAGAAAGTCTGTTAAAATATGTTCCAGCGATCAATATGTTAAAGTAAACATTTTCATAACTACTACCATTACCTCTCGGATGCTACTATTTTTATAATAATGATTCATCGAGAGTCTTTTTAATGTTTATTATTTGTAATAATTTATAGGAATAAAATAGAGTAAAACTTAATTAGTAATGTACGCGATGACCAGCGTTTGTTAATAAATTAGTAACGGTACAGTCGGACTATACTTTTTGGTTTTTTCTCCGACTATATAAATCAAATAATCAATAAAATCAATGTTCGAATCTGTTGACGAGAATGGTAGAACAATCGATCCACGTAAGTTCGTAGTGAAAATTGCTTATTGCTATTGTCGTATCACGTATGTGTTCCTTGATATATTTCAGTCATAGTTATCAAACCTACACTTACATCTATTTTTCCACAATGAGATATTTTTATGGTATGATATTAGATAATGTGTATAATCCCTTACCCCGGGTTCAATAAATGCTCGATGAATCTTTCTAAAACTTTGCAGCTCTCTTCAAAAATGACCAATTCCAAAATATATTTTTTCTGCTAAAAATTGTCGATTCCAATAGTCTTGCTACAGACTGAAGCTTTCGTATGTCCATGAATACCGCGCGTTTCTCGTTCAAATAAGCTGTGAATTTGCTAATACTCATCGATTCAACATATCTGTATGAACGTCAAGGATATATACTGAGCAAAGACCAAATATTTACTTTTTACAATGTTTGCGTCATAAAATGTTTTTAAAATATTATGTTTGTCTCATAAAATATTTCTGACCGTTGTTAGAGTGATGATTGATACACGATAATGTCAAACAAAAAACAAATTAAATTTTTGTTTTCGCTTTGCACTTTGTATTTCTGTGGATCTTATCATTATCAGTTAGAACTCACATATCTTTATTACATGCGTTCCTAATGACACTATTTTTATTCCATGCGATCAAGTTTAAGCTATAAATAAATAATTCGAATAAACGTTTCTTTTCTGGATTTCTTTTTTTTTTTGCACTTACACTTTCGTCTATTCTTTTCTCCTCGTTTTCTTTCAGTATGTACAAATTAGATCCAAACTTGCATGATCAATGTGAAACGCAAGAATGCCGAGAACTTTGAAGATAAACTTTGATAAGATTATCGTGCCTTACCGATACATAATAGTAATCCAGGTGTCACAGTCATATACAGTGTGTTGGTATCATTGATAGATACAAGTTTAAAATTAGAAACTAACATAAAATATATATGCATATAAATATATATTTATATATTATACATTATTATATATATTATATATATATTATAATATATTTATATACATATATATTTTATTTGGAAATATACATATATATTTATTTTATTTGGATTAGATTGACTTGACTTATTTCATTGAACTGTTATATTCTATCGTCCAACATGATTTTTCTCTATACACAAAACAAATCATTTTCGTTGTATAAATTTCTAGTAGCTTGAAATCCTGTTCGTCATATTTTATTTCGATCTGTAAAAAAAATAAAGACTTGTGAAAATTGGATATATCCAATAACAATTTACGTTATACTTAAGCATGCAATACGTGTTATCAGGGTATTTAAAATGAAACAATTTAATAAAAAATATATTAGCTTCAATTTAATCAGTTTATTTTTCTATATTCATTATTTCTTCTGTTTTCTCTTCTTTTTTTCTTTTAAATTTTTTTCAATTTCAATAAATTAACAAAGACAAATTATATAAATTTCAAGAAATAGAATACAACTAACAACTAACAATTAGTCAATTAACAAAAATGATTAATACGATATAATTTTATGAATCTAAGACTATTGAGATAAATTTCTACATAATATACATAAAATCGAATATTACTTATTTTCACTTTTATATATTCAAATAGTTTGATATATTGAAAAATCGTTTAATACAAAGTTAAAAGGTAATAAGTGTCGAATTATTTTTACGTGTGAATATATATGTACGTATGTATATCCATATACAAAAGACATCTAAAAGAGACATCTAAAGAAGACATTTAAAAAAGACATCTAATGTATGTGTATTCATATATAAAAGACATCTAAAAAATATTTTTTATTAGTGTAATAAAAAAAATGACTATTTACTGAATTATTAAAGCTATATAGTAGCTAAAGAATGTATAAAATATAAAAAAGTTTCATGATAAATATTTAAAAATTAAATCATTACAAGTATATTTGAATGTTTTTCACGAAAATAATAAAATCGATCAAGTATTCATAAAAACAATCATTCTTATGTAAGTTGTATCAATTATGAAATGCAATTCCTATCATCTATTAGTACTATCACGAAATTGAAATCACTATAAGAGAAACATTCAGAGTAGCTAAAGGTTTTGCTGTTACACACACAGTCTTACGCCGGATTTACGTTGCGATGCCTCAATTCTAGCAACGTTTCCCGATTACTCCATAAGCAGTATATAGACGCTATTCCTAGTCCTATACAACCACCTAATGCGCACTTTTTTAAGCCAGCTGAAATAATTAATCAATCATTTATATAATTTCAATAGAAAGATTTTATTTAAATACTTATTAATATTATTTAGATGAAACATACTTGTAGATTTGAACAACATGCCTGTCCCAGCTGCTGCTGCTAAAGTATTTAAAGAATCATCCGTACCCCTGGCCCAAGATAAGAGCACACCAAATCCACTATACATTACAGACACTATTCCAAATGTATTTGCTAACGACGAGCCACTTTTCATAACATGGTTGATTAATCTATCATAAATGGACTTGTATATAGTTAATTATAATATTACTTGATAACATTAATATTAAAAAGACTTTAAAATACATACTGAGTTCTTCTAAGCTTGCCAGTTTGTTCAGCTAAAGACGTTGCTTTAATGCCTCTATATAAACCAGTTGCACCTCCAATACCAGCTCCTGTGATACATGCTGCACCAATCTGACTAAAAGCTAGTTCAAATCTTCCTCTTCGTTTTGCAGCTCCTTCCGGAAATATATATTCCGGTTGACTTGGAGGAAGGTATGCAGGATCAAAGTTTAAATAAGGACTAAGTGGTG